TATTTAGTTTTCTCATATAGCTAAAAAAGTGTCAGGACTATACCTTAAGATTGATGGTATTAATCTACACTGAATAATGTTTTTTTTTAACCATTGCGAACAATTGATTAATTAAATCTAATCTGTACTTATTGTTTAATTATCATCCTAGCATATTCAACAATTCGTTAGAAGAGTTTTGAAAGGTTATCTTACACTGTACGTAATTTTCCAAAGAATACAAGGATAACAATTGATAAAATGTCTGTCCTTGTGAATTTGTTATGTAATATAAAGGCTGAAGTCATAACTCACACTATGCATAAAGTTGTGAACTAAAATCTAATTCTACCAAATACTTTCTTCGTGGTCAGTGAGATAGGTTTCTTTTTCCAAATAAAGCTGATAAAATATCAGACCCTAAAGCATGCATATAAAATCAGGCAGAATAGATGTTTTGTGGTAGTGATGAATATGGCAGATAGAACAAACAAATCAAAACATTAATTATACTGTGTTACCTGCAAATTGGTTTCAGAAAATCTAGCCCAAAAGAGGTGACTACATATGAAGGTGATTCAAAATACAATGAAACCTGGATTGCATTTTAGGATCAATGTGACCCCAAATTAGCATCTTGTGAATAGTGTTTTGATTACAAGACAGTGAACAGAGAGTGAACCAAAAGCAAAATATTCCAAAAGCTTTAAATATGAACAAAATAAAATGCTGGAAACAGTTAGCAGATCAACCAGAAGCTGTGAAAGAACAAGTGAGTTTATTTTGGTGTGGTTCCATCATTAAAACTAGTATAAACTAGAGTGCATAAGCGATGTTTTATTTCTTATTCTTTCATGGGATTTGGACATCACTGACAGGTCCAACATTTGTTACCAATCTCAAATTAACTTTGAAGCTCGTTAGGCAATTTTAAAGTCAACCAAATTGCTGAGAACCTAAAGTCACATATCAGCCAGACCAAATAAGGACAACAGATTTCCTTCCCCAAAAAGTATTAGTAAATGAGTTAGGTTTTTACAACAATGATAATTTCATGAATTTCATTAAGTGAATGTCGATAACAGTAGCTGCTGTATTGGAAACCTTGGACATTGTCCAGTGACATAACCACTTGACCATCATCCCTAGGGGTCAGCGTTGGAACAATTGCTATGTTCAAATGTATACAACTAATTAGTACTGGGTACAGATCAAATAATACCAAACTTTGCATGCAATGCAAAAGTAGATTACTTGACTTGCAAAGAGATCTGTACACATTTTCTGGATTACATACATAGACAGATTAGTAAATAAAACCAAAAAAACTGCAGATGCTGTAAATCAGAAACAAAAAGAAGAGGAAGGGTTCTGAGGGTCTTTCCACAGATGCTGCCAGACCTACTGAGCTTTTCCAGCACTTTTTTTTGTTGTAGACAAATTAGTAGATTGGATAGGTACCTGTTAGTTTACATTTAATCACAGAATCGCCCAATGCTAATTTTTTTTGTCTGGGGTCTGTTTAAGGGTTGCATCTGTTAAGGGGCTTGTTAGTGGTTGGTGCACAACTGTGCAATGATAGTCAATTAGATAATTTAAGGTTTATTCAACATTCAGGTGAAAAGCATGCCGGCTCAACCATTCCATGTAAGTGTCCCTCAATCTTTCGTCCTTTAATCCCTTGAGAATTCTTGATTCCCTTCTCCATCATATGCATGTTTAGCTTCTCCTTAAGTGAATCTCTAATATTCACTTCAACCACTCCCTGTAGACGCTAGCTACTTAAGTAGAAATATTACTTCTGAATTCCCTGCTGGATTTATCAGTGGTTATTTTATTTTCATTGTCCCCAGTAACACACTTTCCAACAAAAGGAAACATTTCCTCTGTTGTGAAACATGAATCCTAAACAAAGTTTGTAATAGAACAAGTTTGGAAGTTATGAAGCTCTTTTCTTCAATTATACCTGCTTAAATTGTAAATCAAATTTCAAGTGGAGTGTTTATTCCTCAGGTAACATTAAGGCCATCAGATGCAAACCTGCCTTTTCAATCTGGAAATAGTTTCCATTCAGGCTTCATATTTGATTATTATAAACGAGTTACAAGGCCAGACTCATGGTAAAAAGTGTGTATTTACTATGTGTTACGCATGGATAGCTTTATGTTTTGATTCTGTTCCGAACATTGGTGAAATAGTTAGAAATCCGTTATTTAAAGATGTATTATTGCAATAGGTACTAACACAGCTAAAACATTTTGCAGGTCTCCTCTAGTTATTGGAGGTGTGGAGTTATAGAGATGAAATGGCTTGGACATTTCGATGGCATGGGAAGAGTGGCTTGAGGAGGGAATTGCATGGGATATAAATGATATAGGAGGGAATAGATGGCACAGGAATTGTGGATGCAATTAAAGAATTGGTGAACTACACAGATGTCTTGCAGATCTCCACTCCTTCAATGGCATGACATCATTGTATCTGTGTTTGCCATTTTGCAGGTGCAACAAATTAATTATAATCCAACACTTTCTATATAATGCTGTATTTTTTTCTTTTCGCTTAATTATCCAATCCTTTTCTGAATGTTAGTAATCTGTTTCCAATACTTTTTCAGGCAGTACATCCCAGATCATAAGAATTCAGTGTATAAATAAATCATGTTCGCTCTGGTTCTTATGCCAATCACCTTAAATCAGTTTCTTTGGTTATGGCTCATGATTGAGAGTTCTAATATAAAAGCAAAATACTGCAGATGTTGGAAATCTAAAATAAAAATGTCAGTAAGGCAGCATCTGTAGAAAGAAAGAGTTAATATCTCAGGTCAATAACCTCTCAATGGGAATCTGACTGTGCAATTGGGGGTTAGAATATACAATTAGGAGTAGCCATTTGGCACCTTGAAGGATGCTGGTTTGGCTATAGCCTCAAATTCACATTCTTGCCTAATCCTATTAACCACAGACTATGTAGCTCCACATTGAAAGTATTCAAATACCCTCATCCCCTACTCTCTGGGAAACAGAATTTGAAAACATTGTGATACAAGAGAAAAAGATTTCTTACCTCCACCTTAAGCAGAAGACCTCTAATGTTGTTCAAACTGTGTCCTCTAGTTCTTGCATCTCCCACAAAGGGTAACATTCTTTCGATATTCACCCTGACAAATCCACTCAGGATCTTATGTCTCAATAAGATCACCTCATATTTTTCTAAAGTCCAATGTACTCAGGTCTAGCCTATCCAACCTTTTCTCATACCTAAGACTTGGCTAGGGAGAGGGGATAGGCTAAGTGAACATTTTCTGAATTGTTTTTAATGCATTATTTAGATTAAATCACACAAATCAAAATGGCAGATGCAGCAGGGTAGGTAGCGTTCTGCCTCCCGAGCCCCTCTGCATCCTTTATCCTTTTCACTTGCATCTTCATCTTTTTCTTTTCGGCTGCTGCTGCCACCTTTTGTGGAGATCAGGTGGTCCTGGGCGGCTGGCAGTGGGAGTAGATAGCATGGGGCAGTAAGGTCGAGCCCTTGCGGAGTGCAAGTCCAGCGCAGCTAGGTGCTTACGAACTGTGGTATAGAACTGTTAATGCCGTTTCTTTGTTTTTCTACGTTTTAGTAAAAAGACTGTAATATTTAACTTTTTAAACGTTGTTTTCCTTATTTTTCTGCTTTGTAACCAAGATTCTGTGCCTAGGTACCTTTGTACCTAAGATGGCACCATAGGTGGCAACTTGTAAACTTTTCACTGTACTCATGTGAGTGTGTGTGACAATAAACCTAATGCAATTCAATTCAGCTGGCTATCAAAACCATTACAGCACATCTAGAGGAGAAATGGGACAGGTAAGAACATAAGAACTAGGAGCAGGAGTAGGCCATCTGGCCCTTCGAGCCTGCTCCGCCATTCAATAAGATCATGGCTGATCCTTTCGTGGACTCAAATCCGCTTACCCGCGTTCTCACCGCATCCCTTAATTCCTTTATTGTTCAAAAAAAACTACCTTTTTTTTTTAAAAAAGACCCTTCTGATGAAGGGTCTAGGCCCGAAGCGTCAGCCTTCCTGCTCCTGTGATGCTGCTTGGCCTGCTGTGTTCAGCCAGCTCTACACCTTGCTATCTCAGGTATTGCTACGCTCTATCTTTGGGACAGAAACCTTGCATTTCCAGATTCCATTCATACCTGTCCTATGCTATCCACTCAGGGCCATAACTCCACGCCAGGCCTATATGAAATTTATTATATATAGAGGGTAGGTCAATCATCACAGCACACAAATGAGAAAAGTACATAAACAATAAATGACTCCCACATTTTAATGAATGAAGGAGTTTAAAATTTGAAAGGTCTATTATGCAACTGTTGTATTGTGGAACTATCCATTGCATTACATAGCTGGAAAAAAAAAGACATGCAGGTAGTTCTGCTATAAAGCATGATTCATTAGTGCGAATTGGCTGTAACGTAATTGATGAATAGTGGACACTGTTTGGATAACATGAACTTTCTGCTGTACAGGTATAGCAATTTTCTGTACCAATTTCCCTATAACACGATTTTCTATAGCGCACTCACACAAGAACGCAACTATTGCATTATAGGAGAACTACCTGCATATCAAAAGCTTTCCGCCTTGCATTCATTAAGACAGATACAAGAATACCATATTTCAAAGGGAGCAACAAACATGTTTTAGAACAGTAAAATTACTCAGATGTTCAGTCCTAGAGTCATGATTTCACACTGCGTATGATCAGGATGTCATAATGCAGAGATAAATAGGAAACTGACAATTAACAAAAACAGCTCACTCGCTCTGCAACAAAAATGATTCTACCTTATCAATAATTTGTAGCAAGTTATCTCATTACAGTACATTCTGCATTTTCCTGAAAAAGTTGAATATGCTAACTTCAGTAGTTAAATTGCATTTTTAGTGTCTTCATGCCGGTTGAAGCAAAGACCATCAAACAACAGGGTAAATTCTAGCTGCTTGAAAGTTAACAATGAAAAAATTAAAACATTTTAAAAATTGTTTATTTTTCAGAAGTCAAATTTCACAAGTTAAACACATGTATTTTAATTTGATTAAAATAATCCTCCAAATCTGTAATGCAATAGCACACAGAAAATAAATCTCAAACTCCAGTTGTTTAATTATTTAATCACCATTCTTTCTGAATGTACCCGGCATTCTAAATGCTGCAGGTCTTCTACAGTTACTTCACGGAAAGCCAAGACTCTAGCAGTAGTTAGAGTTGGGTTAAATTCAATAGTCATTAGACAACAAAGGTCCACCAACTCCTGTTGGCATTTTTGTAACCCCACGGTTATCTTTTGCTGTTGATTAGGACATTTTATTGAGTTTCTCATTTCAGCTACTGAAAAACCAATCAAGCTTCTCAAAATGTTATCACCAAGTTCTACATCCATGTAGGCAGTACCATCTGATATTCTAGCTTTAATACTCCACAGTCCATCATTACTTGTGAGTTTGTCCAGTAAGGTAACAATGAACCCTTTGATTTGTACCACAGTTATTACATCAGGTTTCTTATCTAAAAGAATATTTAGGTATGTAAACGGTAGAGAATTCAATCCCACAAATTGATCGTTGACCTTTCTTCCATTCATATTGCTTATTCCTGCATCATCATTATGAAAATTGCCTCCAGTGCCAGAAGAACCTGAAATTACTTTAGACATGGTGCACAGAATTTCAGGTACAGAGTCGTTCTTTGGCCTTCTGTCAAAGGACTCATACAGCGTTAATGAATTAAGCTGTTCCTTTCTCAGTTCCGTAGTGAGAACAGTTGTATTATTTATTCCTTCCACAGGAGTAATGCCTGTCTTTTTCATGGAATTGTGATCATTTAGCATGGAACCCGGCCTTGCATTTTCAGTATGTATGCCACTTTTAAGAAGGTTAGCTTGGCTTTTTATTTGAGAGCCAGAAGTATTATCAGCAGCTAATACACTTTGCTCATGGCATGTACTGGGTCTGCTATCTGTTGCTTCTGCAACATGCTTTACGTTATTTCTCTGTGGCTGTTCTACTAAGGATTTGAGAGATTTTGGGGACTGGCTCATTGCTCTATCATGCTCAGTTTCTGCATTCAATTCACCCTGGATGAACAAATCATCAAATTCATCCATGGGAAACTCATCAAAGTCTTCATCATTACAATCTATTAATTCCCTATCTTCTCTTTGAAATCCTCTGGACATTTCTGGAGTCTGGGAGTCCATACTTTGCCATCTGCTGCTCAAAGGCTGTGTGCAATTGGAAACACAACTTAAAGTGCCAGTTCTACTACAATATCCACTTTCAGAATCAATTCTGGACTCCAAAAACAGATCATTTTCATCAAAACCAGCCAAAAGCTCATCATCCGAAGGTTCCAAGAGCTGAGGCATCCCATTAGTCCTTTCGGCTGTATTTTGATTATTATTCACTCTGGTTACAGCAGTATCATATGGTTCCCCAATTAACCTTGCAAGTAGTCTCTCTTGGGAGTTTTCTTCCATAAGAGATTCCACTTCACCCCCCAACATCCTTACATTTTCAGGTTTAATAAGCAGAACTCCTAATCGGCAGGCAATATTACCCAGCAACAAGATTTTTGTGCCTGGTAAAAGGCCGCTATGCAAAGCAGGAATAGGCTTATATTCCATACCTTGAAGCTCCTGGACTCCGTCCGTTAATTGCAGCATCAACATTCGGGTTGGTTTTGCTTCCCAAGATCTTTGCGATATTTGTGTTGATGTCACTTGTTCATTAGTAGTGTCCTTTCCCCTGATTTTTTGCAGCTGGCTGTATGCAGCTTGGCTGACATCAACTAGTGAATCAATCTGCAAGCAGTAAAATCCATTGAGGTCGCATTTCTGCATTTCAGAGATTCCTTCTGGCAAAATTGGATACTCCAGATCTCGGAGATCAGTAAGAAGCCATTGCTCAAAAACTTGTTTGTTGATTTGGGCCTGCGTTAAAGTAACACCTTGGTTCTCCTGTTGAATCCACTCTACACATGCCTGAAGCCAATGTGAAGGAACTTTGAGATGCCATGTTGCTTCCAACCAAGTTTCAATTCTTGCAGAGATCATTTTGGTTTTCTAAATTTCATTTAATGGGCTTGAACACCATACACAAACCTAAAAAGAAATCACAAGATATTTGCTTTGTTTTGTCTATTTGGTACTACATTTTAATGCCCTGTGCATACCTACTTGTTCTTCAATCAAGCATTTGGCAACACAATCTCTACAGCCTTCAGGATTAAGGATGGCAGGCACGAGGGTATCCTACCATCTACAAGTTCCCCTCCCAGTCACGTGTTACATCATCATTCCTTCATAATCACTTGATCACTAACCTAGTGATCTAGTCCAGTGTCACATAATCCACAACCTACTTAAAGGTAATTATGGTTTCAAAGTAAGAGTGCGTCTTCAATTGCAGCTCAGAAACAAATTTTAAAAATCCTTTGTAAAAGCCAACACTCTCAGTCACCTAGAGCCGCATACCTTACAATAACATCAATCTGACAGAATGAAATTGAATCACTTTTATATATATATGATGGGGCACAAGGAATTCTGCAGCAATAAACCCATTTCCAGTGTCACGAATGGTTGTCCAACCTCTCAAAGGCACCAAATCAGGAGTGTGATGGAATACTTCACTTGCCTAGATAGATGTAGTTCCAACAACACAAGAAGCTCAATACCATCCAAGACAAGGTAATCCATCCACAATCATCTATATTCAATTTGTTCAAAACTATAACACACAGTGGCAGTAATGTGCAACATCTACAAGATGCACTGAAGTAACTTGCCAAACTTCTGCTAAACATGCAGTTTGGCATTTGCCAAACCACGGCCTCTACGACCTAGTACAAAGCCAGCAGATGTATGGAAATACCATTCCATGTTCCCATTCAAGTCACACACCATCTTAATTTGGAACTCTTGTTGTTGGGCCAAAATCCTGGAACTCTCTTAACACTGGGCATGCCTAAACCCAAAAGACTCCCAGCAGCTCAAGCAGCTAGCTCTCTACCACCTCTAAGTTTCTAATTAGGGATGTGTAATAAATGCAGACCTAATCCAACAATGACCAGATTTTTGAAAAAAGTCATCAAAATTTCATTTTGACATCCTTGGTCAGTTATGGACCAGTGTCAATGGGTCAAATAAGCAACTTCTGCTCCTACATCATGGCTGATAATAATCCTTGAATTCATTTTCCTGCCTTTTCCCCATAACTGTTGATTATTTTTATGTGTAGAAATCTGCCTATCACAGCCTCAAGTATACTTAACAACTCAGCCTCAACAGTCGGCTACACTAAAAAATTCCAGAAATTTGTCACTGAGGATGTCACTAAAATCCTACTCATCTCTGCCATAAATGTATAATTCCTTGCTCAAAGATTACACCCTCTGCTTTTAGACTCTCCCACACAGGGAATCAACTTCTCTGCAACTACCCTGTCAAGTCCCCTAAGAATCGCTCAATAAGGTCTCGTCACATTCTTCTGAACCTTGAGTATAGATCTAGCCTATTCAATCCAAGGAATCCCAACATGTCTAGGATGAACCTAGTGAACTTTCTTTGGCTGTCTTCAATACCAATATATATTTCCCTATTAAAAGGGACCAAAACTGTTCACACTATTCCAAATGTAATCTGACTAATGCCTTGTATAGTATTAGCAAGACGCCCCTACTTTGATTCTACATTCGCTTTGAAATCAGAGCCACATTCCATTTGCTTTCTCTGTTACCCACTGAACTTGGACGCTAGTTTTTAAATGCACGTTCAAGGACCCCAAACTGCTCCCGGCTGCACCTTTCTCAATTTGAATAATATCCTGCTCGTATACTCCTACATTATATTCAGTCTGCCAAGTTTTTGCCTACCTAATTAACTTACCTGTATCCATCCGTAGTACTCTATTACCATCACTACTTGCTTTTCCACTTATTTTTGTCACCCACGAACCTGGCAACAGCACATTTACTTTATTACCAAACTGTAATACCCTCGGCATGGTTTTCATTTAAATTTTCTGTAAATCGTCATTGATGTCAGACAGTAAAGATGGACTGTAATCCACAGCGTCTTTCAAAACCCATACAGTTTAAGACAATAAGGTCCTCCACGACCATGCCTCATACGAGAAAGACTAAAACCAAAATACTACGGATGCTGGAAACCTGAAGTAAAAACGGAAAAATGCTGGAAACTTTCAACGAATCATGCACCTTATACGTAGGGGGAAACTTAACTGAGGATCCAAATAAGAAGTCACCGGACCCAACAGTTACTTATTTATCTCTCCAAATGTTTCCTGACCAGCTAACTATTTCCATCTATTTACTTAATTGAGGGAGATGGATTCAAACGGAAGATAAGGTAATGCATTTTTAAAAATGCGATTGCTAAATAAAGTAATCTTATCCTACATCTTTAGAAACTACTGCTATTATTGCAAGCGTTGAAACCCACAGGACGAGCAAACCGACTGGAACTCGAATCCATCAAAGGCCTACAAAGTAAAAGCTACTTGGACCAAAGCTGTTCTACCTCGACGATCAATACTCAACCTATATTAACGCTGCCCTCCAATGTCACGCTGTGTACGTTATACAAGTCCCGACCCCCCCGCCATTCCCTCCACCTTTCCTTCTCCAGCGACACCAACTACACTTTTTCCAGAATTTACTCTCCCGCCCGCGCGCCCGCGGATCCAACTCTCGCGACATCTCACAGTTCTTCATCGTTTGGTTGTTGTTTCATGATCTGCTCGCTACAACATACAGATATAAAAGAACAACTATATGAAACAATATTTATTATGCAGTCACGATTTTTAAAAAAGCAGTTCTAAAGGGCTATAACTTGAAATACTTGGTGAGAACCGTATACATGACATGTTTTATATAATTTTATATTTTAACCGACAACGGGGCCAACCGATTTGATTAACGGGTATATTGACCAATCGCAACAAGAGGGCTCTCCGGTCACGTCACCAGGGTGCTGGGCGGAGCTGCATCTGCACCAACCAGAGCCCGGGACCGCGGACTGGGGCTTCTGGGTAAAGCAGTCGGTGCCACACCAGAGCGATCCATTTTGTTTCGCTCGTCCTGATAGCTGAGCTCGGATCCTGTTCGCAGCTTTTAGCTTTGGTAAGGTATTAGACTTAGTAGCGTACCATACTTGATTTATTTCTGCTTTTCTGAAAAACAAAATCTGAACGTAGTCATAAATAGGCAAGAAACGTTCGCGTTTTTTTTAAGAGGAATGCGATTATTGGGAAGCTCATGTTCATCGTTAGCGTGGATGTTGTGGGTGGATGTGGAAGACATCTTACTTCGGTGCCTTGGTTTTTTAAAACATTCAGATTACCGCACGATAACAAAAATTGGCGATTTTTTTTTCTTTCCGAATCGAATAACTTCCTTTTTTTTTAGAAGTTTGTCTGAAATGTATGAAACCACCACGGAGTATGGGCCTAGTTGGTGTGGCTGATTGCGGCCTTATTCCCTGATGCCGTCGTTTGTCGTCTCGGACTCTTTGTCGAGTCACGGGGTAAATGGCGGCGGGCTTCATCCTCCCTCCTTCCCTCCCCCTCCCCCACTGAAAAGGAAAAGGCAATCGATCGCGAGTGCCTCAGAGTACGAACCGCGCCGCCATTTTAGAGACGGTTGTTGTCGGAATGGCTGTCGGGTTCTGGAGGTGGTTTGGGTTCGCCCTTTCTCCCTGAGGCAGAGAGGGAGGGTGCGAGCGGGATCCGTCACCGCCGCCAATTGGACAACGGATCGGGCCGTAGTGCAATTGATTCGGTCCCTGATCCTCGGCACGTTTCGCTGTCTCATTGCATCGGCCATTTTGAGGTTGTTCACTGCAGCTGGAGGCAGTGGGTTTTTATTGAGCACAGACCTCTTACGCCGATCACAATATTTGCGGCCGAAATGGTGGAGGTAGTCTTCCTCCGTGACATTTTGTCGTTGACCATGTGTTAATGTAAACCGTCTGGCTAGACGGGGCCGTTACTTTGCCGCTGTTGTTTAATAATTACCATCCTTGTATGTTACAGGTTCTGAGATATTCCCGCTCCATTTGCATCACGATGGCGCTCGAGTGGCCGGATTTCATCCGACACGCGCTTTTTTGTTTCGCCCACGTGTTGCTTTATATTTAGGGGGCTACAGTTTATGTCTTGGGCCATACGTGATGTGATAAATTTCTCATTTTGAAGAAGCCGAAATTTGCATCTGAAACCCCCAACGTCCTAAGACGATTTAGCATCAGATTTTAGTGTTCGTAGTTGGCTCATAAAAAATGTTATGTTCCCATTCTCTTCAGGCGCTCAAACCATTTTGAGGTAAATTAGGCGCTCAGCCTATTATTCCAGAACGTGTCTTGGATTGACGTTAAGTTCAAGTCTGGTTTTGGTCTTGAAACCAGATTTCTTCTGGGCACATATATATAAATTCTACCACCATTTACAAGTGGATTTTTTTTTTCTCAATTTAACAAGTTGGGATGTTAGTTCTATCAAAACACTTTCTTTCTGATCCCAAAGAAACAAAAATTGGCTGTAATTCCACCGTTTGCTTTAGGTGGGGAGAAAATGTCACATGATAAATATGAATTGAATTTGCAAGTTTAATTTAAAATGCAGAGATAAATGTGCAACTGCGTGTTTAAAACCAGTATCCCTGTCCTAAATTATTCCATAGCTTTGACAGTTGAGTTTACTAAGGAATTGAATTGTTAGGGAAATAATTCTGGATGAATTTAGACCTCTTTCTTCCCCACCCACCCCACAATTGCACTAGTGGCAACATTTATAGTTTAGTGCTAGCTAGTGACTTGCACATGATGCTTATCTCAGTCTTGTTGTCTTAACATCTTCATGGTTTGAAGTCCTCTGCTTCTTCCATGAACCGAAGCGCACCAGTTCCCCAAAACCATAGCAGTCTTTACTGATTTCTGGTTAACTTAATGTGCTAGTTACAGATAAAAGGACGCAGCTACGGAGACTGTCCTATAATTATAGAAATGAGAGCCAGAGTGGGATAGTCTTTGTGACTCAATCTTAGAATGACCCATCTATCAATGGAGACTATCAAGGCTGTTCTTTACTTCTGTAAAGTAAGCCTTCAGTCGTCTAAACTCTAACTGATCCAACATTGTCTTCATTGTAACTTGGGGCCATTGTCCCACAAATTAAAGTCAGTCTCCTCTGGGTGCTCTGGTTTCCTGCCACAGTCCAAAGGTGTGCTGGTTAAGTGGATTGGCCATGCTTAAAAGTATCCTATGGTGTCCAGGAATGTGCAGATTAGAGGGTTATCCATGGTTTTAAAACCCCATATGGGGATATGGGATGGGTCTGGGTGGAATGCTGTTGGTGCAGACTTGTTGGGCACAATCTGAGCTAATGGGATTGTAGAATTCTAATTTTTTTTCCTACACTGATAAAATAGTTAACCCTTTGCAAACTTGACCAAAACTAATCATACTTTGGATGACATCTCACTAAGACCATGCATGTCTCCAGTAAAGCACCCCTCGTCCTTTTTATTGCATTTCTTTTACAGTAAACCTGAAAATTTCACTTGTTTTTCTAATCACTTGCTGAACCTGCATGCCAACTTTAAGATTCGTGTGCAAGTGTTTCTTGTGTTCCTTTTGGTAAAGTATACTAGTCCTCCCCAACTGTATCAGCACAGTTTCCTGCTCTTGCCCAGAATTTGCTTCAGTTTTCCATCTCCTTTATGTTCTGCAGTTGTGGTATTTTACTAAACGTTATTGGCAACTTGCCATTCTTTAGAGGATGGCATGCCTATAATTAGCTTTGAGAGTCAGTGATCTCAATGATTACCTGAACAATACCTGTCATCCTGCCTTCCCTTTCTGGTTTCTGTATATCCATTGTGATGTGGTTTTGATTTTTTGATAGTCACAGAAGTGTTCAGCGTGGGAATGGACCCTTCAGCCTAACTTGTCCATGGCAACCAGTTTTCCTAAACTGACCTAGTCCCATTTGCCAATGTTTTGGCCCTTATCTCTCTCTCTTTTTTCCTATCAGTGTATCTGTCCAAATGTCTTTAAGTTTTGTAATTGTACCTGCCTCTACCACTTCCTTTGGCATCTTGTTCCACGTATGTGCCACCCTTTGGAGCAAGTTGCCCCTCTTGGTCTTAAATATATGCCTTCTAGTTTTGTCTTGCAGACTAGCTGCATAACCAACCTCCATCGTTAAAAAAGTCTTCCCCGTTTTCTCGGCATTCTAAAAGAGCTGTTTTCCCCATGTGTGCGGGCAGCAAAATATCATTAATGGGTAACTTGAAGCTTTAATAATGGCCCATGTGCCTACCAACAATTTAGTAAACCAGTACCACCTTACACTCAATTCAGTATGCTGTATTTCCTGTTCAGTATGGTTGGCAAATTGGGGGGGAATCTGTTCCATGCCATTTTGAATTTACTTCCTTGCACATCTAGATTTTTTTTTGTCCGTAACCTGTTCCGGCCTTCCAATGAACCTCTTCATGAGCATGAAGAGCACCATTTGTTCTGAACTTAATACTGTCATTTTTAAATTCAATTCATGGGCATTTTCCCATTGTTTTTTTTTTAAGTTTGAATCTTGTTTTTCAGGTACTTGCATTTGGGTTAATCTTTTACCTGGCACTTACACTCTTGGGTAAATGTTTTCATCAGTGCCATTGTACTTTTTTGATCCATGAGGTCTTTCAACCTTTTATTCTTCCATTTTGACAGTGTATAACTCACATGTTTCTACCTGTCGGTTTCTGAAGAAATCGGTCTAGTCAGTGTTCACTCATTCTCTCGACAGGTGATGTCAGATTTGCTAAGTTTCTAATACTGTTTAGTTTATATAACATGTAACTTTTTGTCTTGTTTAAATAAACTGGCTTATCCAAAAACACGACTGAACTAAAGCAAAGTGATTCTTAGTGTGAAAGTGAATACTGTAAATCAAGCCATCTTGAGTTGTGATAATAAACATACTGTGCTGCCATGTAGTGTTTAAAAATCATGTAATGAAAAGATTTGGAATTGTGCACATTGGGGAAAGAGGTTTAAATATTATTTGTTGCAGCTAATATTTTCACGCTTTCTGCGGGCCTTGTGCAAGAAGACTGAAGTTCATTCATTGCATTTGTTTGAGGTCATATGTTCAGGATGAATTGAGCACCTAAAAAAGCTCTTTGTATCTTGAATTGCATTTTTTCAAAATTAAATAAATACAAGAAATTCACTTTTGGGTGAACTTATAATTTTGATTAATTCAAATTAATATTAATCATGAGTGACTAATAAGAACAATACTACTTTCCTGTAGTCTATATTGGATGAATGACTTGCTTTAGCAACTGAGTATTAAATAATTCGGGGAAAATTTTGTCTTACAGACTAGCTGCAAAACAAGTTTTGCGTATTAATCGCAGTACTTGATACCTAAAATGGAAACTGATCAGCAAGACATCAAATATAACAGCCCAGAGACCAACGGTAGTAGTCTTAGCCCTGGTTCTTGTATGTTTTGCTTTTTTTGCATTTCTTGTATTGATAGTAATAAGATTATTAACTTTTGCACTAATGTTACCTTGATATGACATGAACTGATTTTGTATTTAATTGTTTTCCTGAAGTGATATAGCAGTTTTGAATCAAGTTAAAGTTTGGGAATATTGTCTGCGTGTGCATAGGAGAAAGTTGCATTGTGTGAACCTTTTGAATGAGTTGGAGAAATGTTTTCCTCATTTGTCTGCAAATTCTTTCATTTCTCTTCCCATTTAATCAGTTTGCACCTCACATTATGTGCCCTACCATGTTCTGTGTTTTTCCACTGTATGTCTTTCTAACTGCAACTTCTGTTGCACCCTCCAGTGTTCGTACGGTTGGTTACAATCATAGCAACTTGAATGTTGTTGTACGTCAAGATTATTCCATTGTCCTCTGGATCCCCAACCTCTGCTTGATTTTGACTTTCTTTCTATACGCACCACCATTTTCAGAATCTGACTCTCTATTGACATTGCACATGCCTTTCAGTAATCTTACCATCTTAAGATCTCTTACTGGGGTCATTTTACTGTTGAAGTCTCTACATGTTTTACCCACCCATTTATAAATTCATCTCACCAAACAACATTCTCCCTTGGCTGACCATTTATCTTTCACTGTGAAGTGGTGTACCGCACTGACGGCTGTGTATTGCAAACATTGGCCAATCCGCACTTCTAAAGATGACAGCTAACTTTCCAATAAAAATGACTTCTCTCCACAGATGAATAATTGCTGTCTAGTGTTTTACACTAAAATCTGATCCAGTAACTAGAATTGTATATAGATAACTAGAATTGTATGTAGACAGTACAAATTTAATTCAAACTTTTCTAGTTAGATATTAAGTTTTTTGACCAGATTCGGCAGATAATGTAACAATTGTATTAAATGAGAACAAATTGCATGTGATATTGGAGTGTGCATTTTCTAGGTTGGATTGTTGAACATTGCTGTTACCTTGCATAGAAGGTAAGTGGGACAGTAAAGCAATATGGAAGGACTTGTAGGTTATTTTGTTCTAACCGTGCTCTTAACTAAATGTTAACAAATTGTACAACCAGGGTGCAAATGAAGCACTGAATTGCCAATATTTTGATGTTAGACTTAATGTGCCATAAATGTTTACATGAAGCTTGATATTTTAAAAAAAACACGCAAAACTTTCAGGCAAACGTCCTGCTGAGGACCATGATGGAGAGCAAGCCTTTAAGAGGTCTCGGAATAATGACCAGTGTGTGGAACTACGACTTCTGTTGCAGAGCAAGGTGAGAACTTTCTAGTTTCAAGCAGTGGGTGATTGGCAAACTGTTTCAGTATTTAATGTTGAGTAGAATAAGAGGATACATAACTGTATTTGGACATTTGAGTGTTACTTTTGAATGCACAAAGATGTAGCGAACATTGCTTAGAATTTAACTTTGATTTCTTTTTAAGAATGCTGGAGCAGTAATTGGAAAAGGTGGCAAAAATATCAAGTCATTGCGTACAGACGTGAGTATACATCTATAGTGTAGGTTAAGATGTATGAGATCTAGTGCTTAAGTCAATAACTTTTTCAGTAAGTTGGTAACTTGTAACTGAAATTTTGCTGTCTTCATTGTGTTGTGATTATATTGATAGTCAGTCAGTGAAACTATGAACATTTTAAAATGAGTTAATTATACTGTTCTGGGAGGACAGAGCCATTTGTAATATTGTGTAATCTATTATTCTGAAATTTTATAGATGGGCTAGATCTGAGGAGATATCATTAAACACTTTATTAAAAAACTAGGATGCAGTTTTAAATTTATCATAGTTGAGTGTCTTTAAGGTGTCCATATCTGTAACAATCCTTGATTGCAGCTTATCCTATTTGTGATCTACAATATTAAATGGAGAAACATTGCAGGTGGCTAGTATAATCCAGAGTTTCCCAGAGTCAGAACTTATCTTTTTTTTTAAAGATGTCCATCTGTTCTTACTTCAACAGCTATACAGATGTACGTGAAGGACAAAGACTGCTTTATGTAAAGAAGAATGCTTGATATGAAATTGGGTATAGAACAGTGTTAAACTATGTTTCCATAGATGGGAGGGAATGTTTTGAGAAAAATGAAGTTGAACAGAATTGTAATTTTTATATTAGCTAGCATAAATAGATGCCCTGTAGCAGAATAGGTTTAATGTTAACTTCTTTTAGTGATTTGTATTTATTTCCCTTGTTATAAGGTGAAATACTGTTTAAAGTAACTGTTTGTTCTAAAATTATAGTTATGAAGTGTCTCGTAGAGTCTTCAGAAGTCTGTACAGAGGATATATAGAGTGATGAGAATAGATTTTTTTAATATCATTCAATTAAAATTTACTCCTTTTCCCCCCTCTTCCCTCTCCTTGTTTTTTTGGCCATTTATCTCCGTTGCCCTTGTACTGGATCGACATGTTCCCTGCGTTGCCCATCATGACGTTGACCCATCTGCCCCTTGAACGCCCATCTGAATACCCTGGTTGGCTATGCCCATAATGTGCTCAAATGCCAATGGGCACCAATACCTGAACTTCACTGAATGCCCTTGCCCAATGCCAACAACCACGAACGCCTTTGTGACCAATGCAGTACAATGCCAGTGTATCAGTCCCAGACAGCAGTGGCCCCGAGCGGTATGTCCCAACAGTTTATGACTCACTGCCTGATTAGAACAAGGAATTGTATCTATATAACCTGAATTTGTTGTTATTAATTAGTAGTCCCTTATAGAAAGTGTACTGTTTTCAAGTTATTTTCTGTCTATTTTCCCCATTAAGTCTTTTGTGGCTGGTCTTTATTACGTGAGTTGCCCACCCAGAGCAATCCACTAATTCATTTTAATGGAAGGAGCACAGCTTCAAGTGTTGCATATTTGCTGCATTTTAAATCATTTGTTAAATCTGTCTTTCCTGCACTATCCTTGTACATCTTGCTCCCCACATTCATAGTCTTACAAGCTAACTTCTGTCACCATTCACTTCTTCACTTTCATTTGTTCTGTCTCATTTTTTTTTTTTTTTACTTTTTTTTTGTTTGATTTCCTGCAGGGGCATAGTGCTGTTACCACAACTAGTTTCTTAACCTTTTTTCTCCAAACTTGTCAAACACCTCTTTTAATGCTGTACTCCATGATACTCACATTCTTCTGCTTTTGCCTATGAAAAGGTGTGCCAAAATTGCTAATCTATTTCCAGGGGTTTCTCAAATTGCTGGTGGTGGGGAGGAATGATTTTTTTCCACTTTCTGCTCTCAGCTATACGTCGTTTTTCTTGCCCACTTAATCTGAGCCCTTCCAGTTATCCATTTTTTCCAAAGCTGTCTTAATTTGAAACATTAATTAGTTTTAAATTTGCATGTTTATTAGTAAATATTTATAATGGGGGTTACTAAATACTTATTTAAAATTTAATTGTTAATGTGTGAACTGAGTAAATGTTACATTGTTTCAGAATGCTATGAATGGCTTACTCACTGATTTTGTTTCCTTTCTTCTCCTTTAAATTGTCAATGGTTTAAAAAAATTTGGCAGCATATTGAGTATAAATGCAGATATTGAAACAATTGGAGATATATTATCGAAGATCATCCCAACTTTGGAAGAGGTGAGTTGTGTTCTTTCTTCAGAAAGTTACAATGTAAATGAGATGTAGCCTTGCAGTTGTAACAGTTGAGTTACATTAGCAGTCTACAACTCGGCTTTAAAGTCAATGAAAACATGTAGGAAACCTGGATACCAGTTCAAGAATTTTATGCTTCTGTTCAACTTTTGACCTTACAGTATCAACACTATAAAGGAAAGGATTTTGACTGCGAACTAAGAATGCTTGTTCACCAAAGCCAAGCTGGAAGCATCATTGGCGTCAAGGGAGTAAAGATAAAGGAGCTGAGAGAGGTAGGTCGTATCGCCTGTTTTGTGTGACAGGTATTAGTTCTGATTATTTCAGTGAAGAAAATATTTTGCTTCTAGCAAGATTATTGTATCCACATGCATCTGGAAGTCCACTGGGTTTATTTTCTGCATGTCTAAAATTCCTGTCTGGAATTTGGTCTGAAAAATCTGTCTAACCATTTTGAGGCTGCCTTGATGAGGCAGATTCTCAACGCTTGGGCTTTGCAAACCATCAGAGCTGTCTTAAGAACTAATACAACTTTAATTCTGTGGTTACCTATTGAGGGCCAAGGTAGGACTACATTGTGGTGCTGTGAAATTTTGTCATATCTAAACTAGTGGTAAATTAATATTCCATTGTCTAAACTTTGAGGTATTTTGTTGTAAGTTGATTTTTCTCCTTGATTCTAGACAACACAGACAACTATTAAACTGTTCCAGGAGTGTTGTCCTCATTCAACAGATAGAGTCGTTCTGCTTGGTGGTAAGCCAGACAGAGTGGTGGAGTGTATCAAGATTATCCTGGGACTATTGGCAGAGGTTGGCGTTCTTTATCCTTCTGCATTTACATGAAAGTATTGTTTTACTGATCTTTGTTCACATGTATTCTGTAGTGAGGGAAAGTAATTGGTAAATTTAAAGTTTGGCTTTAAATTTTTCATGTAGGGCTTGGCTGCTAATTTGGGAAACGATGACTGCTGGAATGATATTGACTTTAAGGGATTGGAAGCTGTTTGGGTTTTGATGTAGAGTGAAATGTTAATTTCAAATAACATTGAGATTTCCCACAAGCAAGCAAGTAACACTTTTTTTTTTGTCTCAAGTCTCCCGTCAAAGGACGTGCACAGCCATATGATCCAAATTTCTACGATGAAACCTATGATTATGGTGGCTTTACAATGATGTTTGATGACCGAGGAAGACGTCCAGTTCCCTTTCAGATGCGTGGCAGGGGTGGGCCCCATCCTCCCTCTCCTGGATATGAGCGCAGGGGTCCCATGGGACTTGCAGGCAGAGGAGGCCGTCCAATGCCCCCACCCAGAAGAGATGCTTATGATGACATGAGCCCACCGACACGTAGGGGCCCACCACCTCTGCCTCGTGCTGCAAGAGGTGGTAGAGGTGGTCGTATTCTTCCTCCCCCACCTCCACCTAGAGGGTAAGCTTGCTGTTACTGCTGGCAGCACTGATCACAAACAATCCTTCAGGATTGTCGTTTATTTTCTACCAGTGTATGCAGTATTCGCATGTTTATTATTTGCATGACAACTTGCAATAGCTTCTGTTTTGAAATATTGGAGTTAGTCTGATTTAATTGATTTTAATTTGACAATTCAAGATATTAAATTGGCCTTCAGTAAAAAGTTTTTTAAAAAAAAATGCAAACAGCAAATGTTTGTATTGAATGGATACATTGTGTATCAGTTCATACTGTATCACCATGGAACAATTTCCAGCATATTTTGCTGGAAACAAGTTAAATGTGATTCAAAATAGTTAATTCATGATGTTTGCTATATTGTTTAGACAACAGGCTGTACCATCCTGACTTGCCAAAGTAGTCTGGATTTGGGGCAGTTGCTGTGTTTACAAATAGCTCCTATTTCATTGTAGTGACCGTACTCTCTATGGCAGGAACAGAATGAATGATCGCTATGATGGAATGGTGAGTCTTGATTTCTTCTTAAAACCTGTCTTCCTGGCACTAGCTTTAACAGGTGCACATGGGTAGCATTCTTCTCTCCCTAATGGTAGTGGGTAAAACTTCAAACTTCTTAAGTTATTTTACAGCTGCTTGCATATTGGAAAAGGAATCTCACTTTTGGGTGTGTTATGGCTTAGTGCAGACTATTACTGCAGTTATCTGTCTAGCTTTTCTTTGCCCACCCACCCTGTACTTAATGTGCAATTAAATTTATTGTTGCTGGTGTTGTAATTGTTTGTTTAATATCTTGTATGCTAGTTGTAGCCATGGTTAAATTTGGAGGTTATTTATTTATAAATATCTTTAATCTAATCTATTTTCTCTTGTGTTCCCCCCACACCCACCAAAATATCCTCATGTGTAGGGTGGTTCTGGATATGGTGAGTTTGCTTTATTCTGTTGTTCAAGTATATTAATTAGATTATTTTATCTAAGTTTTTGGTTATTTGAGATTTTCTTAATTGGTTTTCAGGTAGCCGTGGTGGATATGGAGATTTGGGAGGCCCGATCATTACTACACAAGTCACAATCCCTAAAGATGTAAGTTGTATTTCATTTAAATTCATTACCAAGCTCCTGTATAGCAAAGTATGTTAATCGGGTTGTGTCTAGGCTAAAAGTGATTATCCAAATCCACTTCCAGTATTCAGTGACAACCATTTGTCAATTTTATTTGCTCTAAAATTCAAAATGTGGAATATATTGTTGACACAATGGTATGCGTAAGCAATATTTTTGGGCTAGGTAGTTTATGCATTTCTCACAATGGATTTAAAATTTGAACATGTGGCTTTCTCTCTATATTTCCTCTGATTTTGCATTTAGTCACTAGTATAGCTTAATTATTGAACAACAGCTCTTCTAGGATGTTACCGTGCAATAGGCCCAGTTCAGTCTAGGGGGATTTCAGTTCATGCAGGGCTGTTTGAGAAAGTAGTTGCATGTTATAATATGCATCAACCAATCACTTTTTTAATGTAACAGCTGGCTGGTTCTATAATCGGTAAAGGAGGTCAAAGAATTAAGCAAATTCGTCATGAGTCTGGAGCATCTATTAAGATTGATGAACCTCTTGAAGGCTCTGAGGATCGCATAATCACCATTACAGGCACACAGGACCAGATCCAGAATGCACAGTATCTGCTGCAGAACAGGCAAGTAGTAATAAAGGGTGCTTTTTATTTTATTTAGCAACTAAATGGACTTCCTCTTTCTATCCTTTTTTGTCTGTCGGGCAGAGATAAGACTTGAGCACCATTTCATTTAAGTTTTCATCATTTGAGATCTGACTTTAGAGCTTAGTTTATTCACTGCCAACTAAATTCAACAAATGGTATCTGCTGTTTAAATGTTTTTAAAAATGCCTTTTTGTGAATAGTAAATTTCACTTGTATAATAAAACTTCATTAATTTTAATGATAAGTATAGAAGATCAGTCAACTTGGATTGTGGTCTGGTTCTGTGTGGAAGACTAGTGATTTTGTTGTTTTTGACAGTTGGATTGACAACAAATCACAGTCTACCATATAGCGCAGATCATATCTCTCCAGAAAGTTCTGTTCAATCTTCCAGTAAATAATTAATCTTCTGCAACAGCAAACTACCATTTTCTGTCATCTTAAATTATAATTCCTGTGCTGTGCTGTCCTGTTTTATAAACAAGCTTTGGTTAACTGAAATTTTAGTGCTGGGTCGAATTGATCTGCACTCGCACCCGAACATTGATTTGAAAAAAATAATGTTTGGTCAAATTAGTTTATTTTTTTTTACCTGGTTTCTCCCCAGTGCAGCTACAGCAGCCGCTTTGCGCCCTTAAGCTGACCCGTGCGTTCAGATACCGCAGCTCCACACGAGATAAGGTCAGTTTGGTAGTGGGAATGGTTTTGTTTTGGTGGTGGAAAGGGTCAGTTTGGGAAATTGAATTTATGCACAATTGGGTGTGCAATATTGCTGATAACCTCTGAAGGCAAAGATTTCCTTCAAGTTCAGAATATCAAACTTTCGACCCAGCACTAGTGAATTGCTTTAATTGCATGATTTGAAAGCACAGTTTTATATATTGAACAGTGTTGGAAAATGTTCTGACCAAACTTAGGCAACCAGAACTAATCCCTGTTGCAGTAAAATTCCTGAGTTTAAATGTAAACTTATGGGTTGGAGGTTTGGCTTTCGTTTTGGCCATTTTTAGTGAGGATATGGTATGGGTCAAAGTAAATTTGAGGGGCTTATCTTGATGTCTGAATTTTAACAGTACCAAATCTCAATCTAATTCTGTGCTTTCCTTTTCACAGTGTGAGGCAGTACTCTGGGGAGTTCTTGTAAAACAAAAAAGCGGAGAAGATTGAAGGAATACATCACTGCTTTTTTGTCACTGCTTTTTGTTTGAAGAGCCAACATTCCTGCTTACATAGATCACACTGGGAGCATAGATCATATTCTGCTTTTCATCATTTGTCATGTTTTAATTAGTGAACCTTAGCACAGCTTAGACAGTTTGAATTTTCCAACAGTGACAGTGGATTCTGGGTTTTATGTTTTGTTCTGAATGTTTCAGTGGTTTATTGTATTTTCCTGTAATATGGTAACATTAAGATGTACACTGTTTATGGACAATAGTACTGGTAGTTTAAATGTGCCAGATCCATTCAGTAAATGTGCAGAATGCAATCTTGTTTTGTAAGGAACATTTTATGGTTTTTAAAATAAACTAGGTAAACTAAACTTGTGTATTTTGCTTGAGGATGATTTGCTCCTCATACTTTTGCTAGCTGGGAAGATCAGTGAGCAAAAGTTGACTCAAGTTGCCAATGCAACTGGATGGATCCCTCTCAGCCGTTTTTATTTGGAATGATAGCTAGAATTGCTTATGCTCACAAGAATTGTCTTCCACTGATTGCTCTAATATTAAATGTTATCCTAGTTTGCTCAGAACTATTAAAATGTCTCCACTGAGATCATTTAAGCATTTCATTGTAACCTATGCAAATTGTTACTACTGTATCAGATGTTCTGGAGTAATCAAATAGCTGAACGAGATTGATCTAATACAGAAACTTGAACTAGTCTGGTGTTATAATTGAACTGAAGCAGCATGCATGGAGTTAAGGTAAGGTTCTGGTAATTGATTAAAATGAAGGCTGCCACTTTGCCATGGAACTGCTGGCCTGGATCTTAAGGTAATTTTTTTCTTGTCACTGGATTGGAATTGCAACCAAAGATTAGCCTGTTTGAAATAGCTAATGCTACAGGAGTTGCTGGTGTATGACTTACCAGTTCTGCTGGAATAGAGAGTTTGATTGAGAAGTGGCCTATGTGACCCAAGTGAAAAAATGGAACTGACCTGTCCTCCTCAATGTAAGGAATCTGCTTGAGGGGTAAGTGCAGAGCAGCAGTTCAGTACTCGTAGCTGTAATGGACTGGAGAATATTTTTGTCCAGGTGTCTGATCAACTTTGGACATTGCACTCTAAGAAAAACAGAGAAATTTTGGGGATAGCAGGAACTGCAGATGCTGGAGAATCTGAGATAACAAGGTGTAGAGCTGAATGAACACAGCAGGCCGAGCAGGGAAGCTGACGTTTCGGGCCTAGACCCTTCAGAAAAATCGAAATTTTTCTGAAGAAGGGTCTAGGCCTGAAACGTCAGCCTTCCTGCTCCTGCTTGGCCTGCTGTGTTCATCCAGCTCTACACCTTGTTATCTTAGAGAAATTTTGGGTATGTGATGACTATTGATGACTTAAAGCAATGCCTGATGTTAGGTGTCTCGAGCAGCTTTTCCATATACTATGCCAATCAGAATTTTGACATCTGAGAGCATATTCTGACAATCTTGTTCAACCTGACTATACAATCAATTCGTTTAGGAAAACTTTCCAAATCAGAAGTCCAAGACTTGGGAATTACTACATGTTAAATGTGAAAAATCATCTAATGACTAGCAGACTAAGACTCTGTACGCTTCGTCCATTCTTTAATTTTGTGTTATGCATACCACACTCTTTGGAACTGGTAGTAAGGTGTTAACCATGTTAGGTGGCATTCCAGAATTTTTGACTGTGACAGGTGGAGGAAGAGGAAGGCAATGTAGTTGTAAGTCAATGGTTTATGATTTGGAAGGAAACCTGCTGTTGATAATATGCATTTGCTGCCTTACCCTTCCAGGTGGTAGAGTTCCCAGATTTGGAACATACTGTGAAATGACTGGTTTTGCTGAGACCAGTAAATTTAGGTTTGTTTTTGTGTGGATTGATGGGGCCTTTAGCCTGTTTAGCAGAAAGGTTACCTGCCAGTTCAACCCTGGTTGTTCTGATCTTGCCAGTTACGTATGGCTGAGATTTATTTTGCGAACAGATGAGTCATTCATTCTTTTTGAAGTTTCCAAAAAAAAACACACACACCCTGGTCTGAGATGTTTAGCATATTTGAGCCTTCCTGGTCTTTTTTTTTCAAGAAAGCCCACATGAAGATGGCTAGTTTGGACAGATTGAGGAGAATTGTCCTCTGCGTTCCCCAAAAGTGTTTCTATTAGTGCAATATTTTATAACTTTGATTCATGTTTCCAAATGAAGTCCAGTCCAGTCCAAGTCTTTCTGATTGGGAACAGAACTAGAAAAGACTTAAAGCAATTATTTTCATGTCATTTTCCCACATGATTTGCACCTTTACAGCATGAAGTGGCCATATCTGCTAAAAGTTTCTTAAAACTATTCTGGTCTTGCCCATTTTAAGATGTGAAAGTTAGCATATCCAGTCAGTGTTAATATTGATAAAACATTCCTACCAATATCAGTGTTTAAGTACTTTAGAAATGTTATTTGTATTGCTCCATCTCATAATTTGGACACAGCAGCAGATACTGTTCATGTTCGCATTCAGTTTTTATTGTGAATAAAGACATGGAGGCAAGGGAACTTGGGAATATTGATGTTTTAAACAGTCCACATTATAAGAGGAGAGGATAAATCTCTGACCTGACCAACTGTATCCAAAGACATTAGGGAAGAAATTGCAGGCCACTAGCAGAGATGCTTGTATGATCTGCAGCCACAGGTGAGCACCCAGCCTCCAGTCTGCTGGTACATATTGTACTTGGAGATGCTGTCAGGGGAAGCCGAGGAACTATAGACTGGTGAGCCTGACGTCAGGTGGGTATGTTTTGAGGGGATTCTGAAAAGATTTACATTTGGAGAGGCAAGGTGCTGATTAGGGATAATAACCATATCATTTATCTGTGGGAAATCCTCTGGCTTGAGTCTTTGGGGATGTAACCAAAAAAGGTTGAGGGCAGAGTGGTAGACGTCGGTGGACTTTACTAAAGCCTTTGACGAGGTTTTGCATGGTAGACTGATTACAAAAGTTAGATCACCTGATTCGGGGAGAGCTTGCCAATTGGATACAATTAGGTTGAGGGCAGAAGACCAAACAGGGAGGGTGGGTTTGGTGGAGGCCTGTGACCAGTGGTGTTCTGCAGGGTTCGGTGTTGGGTTCACTTTCGTTATAAAAATGATTTGGATGAGAATTGAAGGGCCATAGCTGGGACATTTGCAGATAACACCCAAATTAGAATAGTGGACAGTGAACGTTACCTAAGAATACAAAGGCATCTTAATCAGTTGGGTCAGTGGGCTGAGGAGTGGCAAATGGAATTCAAAATGGATTCTAGTAAAACATACAAGGGCAGGACTTAACCGGTTGCTGGTAGTGCCCTCAAAACAGACCTAGGGTTCAGGTACATAGTCCTTTTGAAAGTTCTATCGTAGGTAGACAAGGTGGCTAATGCTCACTCCTTTTTGAGTATAGGAGCTGGGATGTTATCTTGAGGTTGTACAGGAGATGGGTGAGGCCACTTGGAGTAGTGTCCAGTTCTGGTTGCCATGCTGTAGGAAGGATGTTAAATTGGGGAGGGATCTGAAGAGATTTCCCAAGATGTTACTAGGAAGGGAGGGTTTGAATTGTAAAAACAAACTGGGCCTATTTTCCCCAGAGCATAGGAGGTTGAGGGATGATATTAGATGTTTATGCCCTTTGTTATTTTATAAGTTGAAAGCAAGAGACTTGTTCTAGGTGGGCAAACTCAAAAACAGGGGGCATATTTTTAAGATGAGAGGAGAGATTTTTAAAAAGGGCAACTTTTTCTCTGGTTCATTTGGAACAAACTGCTAGAGGAAGTGGTAGGTGTAGGTACAATTGTGACACTTAAGACATTTTTGTATAGGTATGTAAGTAGGAAAGGTTTTTTGTTGTGGTTAGTTGGCTTGCC